TAGTGGTAGTGGTGGTGGTAATAGTAGTAGTAGTAGTAGTAGTCGTCGTAGTACTAGTAGTAGCAGCAGCAGCAGCAGTAGTAGTAGCAGTAGTAGTAGTAGTAGTAATAATAATAATAATACTTGGTGGTAGTAGTACTGGTAGTGAGTGGTAGTGAGTGGCAGTGGTAGTGTTGTGAAGACCAACCCTGGCAAAGTAGCGGTATGCGCCAATGGTTTGTTTATGATAACGGCGTTGTTATGGTTCAGGGTGTTGCGGTTTTGCTGTGGTTTGGAATATGGTTTTGTTCTGGTTTGTGAATATGGCTAAGTTATGTATGGTTTTCACTACGCGGGAAAGCACGGCCCGGAAAGCAGCTCGGCTGCAAGTCCGACAACCTATCAAAAACATGGCCACCACATATGTACTGTAAGCCGGTCCTGGAGCGGGGTGGAGACGTGTTATTAAAAATTGTATCCAGATTGCTCCCAAATCATATCAACATCGTGGATTCCCAAAAACACCACAAAGACATCATAAGCCGAATCATTAGACAACCAGAACATGATCATAAACTTCATACCATCATAACAAAATCATAAACTCACTGGTTCGTGAATCCATATCAAAACCATACGTTAATCACGAAATTGCGTAGTCCTGGAATCTGCTGCTTCACAGCACAATGGTAGTGGCAGAGGTAGCGGTTGTAGTCAGCAACAGAAAGCAGTAGCAGGATTGATGTGCGAACATGCCTCTCCCCAGTCCCATCGACACGATCATGTATGCCACTGATGCATGAATGTCAATTCCCGGCTTTGTGCAAAAGGCAGCAACTGTGGGAGCTGGCAGAGGCACAGCAGAAAGCCTGGGCTGAGGCCTGGCCAGACACGGAGCAAAACATGATTGCCGATCTAGAACCAGGTGCTTGCAGTGACACCACCTAGACCGTCGCCTCTTCCTTGGATCCTTTCATGTCCGTGCTCGGAACAGTTCGTTTCGCTTGGCCTCTGCGCAAGTTCCAGGAGGTTTAGTTCAAAGTATATTGACAATATACTTCCAATCACTCCCGGGTGTTGATGGCTTTCTCGAATCGTGCCTGGCCTGGCCCTCAACATAACGACTGCAAACAGCTGGCAAACTTCCAGGATAAAGGCTTCGGCCAAGCTGACTTGATGCGTGTCGGCTGTTGGGGTCCCCTCTGAAAGAGGTCCCCGGCAAATTCAGTCGCCAAAGCAGCCTCGAGAATGTCCGTCCGTGCTGCCGGCGAGGCATTGAAAAGTTTGGAGCCCAAGGACACCGTCAACGAGGACGCAGCTGTGATGAACACGTGGAACATCACAAACCCACGTCAAACATGGGAGACTCGACCACCAATCGTTTTCCAAGGAGTGCCCGGGGCCGAAGTCTGAAACGGAGCCGATAGCCCCGCCGATCTCCCTCATCCACTGCACACGGGAGCCCTTGGCCCTCGAGTATGAGGATCCCGTGCCAGAGGCGGGCTGCAGACGAAAGACTAATTTCGAGCTAGCGTACGGGTCCACCTAGTGTGGCTTGTAGGCTTATTGTAGATTCTCCAGATTCCGAAAGAAGGAGAGAGCCCCCCTTGTAAAGTGGGGCCCTAGTGGCCGGAGGATCTAGCTCATATCCCATGCCAAGAAGAAGAGGAAGAGAGAGATACAGACGGGGCATGGGGCCTGCTCGTGCTTTATTAAGCCCCAGGAGGGAAGGAGGAAGGAAAAGAGACAGGCTGGATGTGTGGAAGGAGGGCGGCTTCTCTCAGGTCGACCAAACAAGGCCTTGGATGGAGCAGCATGCACACCTCATGAGTTCTCATGAGCCTGATGAGAGGCTGCTGTTGCCATGCACGGCTTGGTGCATCGGAACAGCAGAAATTCCATCGAGAGATTTCATCGACCACAATGAACTAAGTAGCATAAGGTGTAAATACCACGGGATTCGAACAGACTACCATTGAAGTCCCCGTGTTTGCTGCCTTCACGCCGGGGCTATTTTGACACGGAATTTACGGAACTGCTAGTAACTGCAGGCGCATCTTGGTTGTGCGCATTGGCTGTTCGCAGCACGAAATCTGTCCTGGCAGGATGTGCTGGGAAGCCTTGCCTCAACTGCTCCAGATTGGAGTGATCTCAGCTTCGTGGACGAGGAGATGTAACATGTCTCATGCCAAGATCCAATAACCAGGCATCCAAAGCTCTGGGCAGTCGAATTCTGCTTTGACCACTGTAACCCCCAGCATCAGCAGGGGTGGATGCGGCAAGGGTGGGAACACAACACTCGTGCAACAGATTTTAACTCTAAACTGTTCAGCTCCAGACTAGTTGCTCAAGGCGACGTAGCTTGGCACTTTGCACCTGATGCTTTCGAGTTCCCTCACGGACAGAAACAGACCAGGGAGGCAGGGAGAGAGTGTTGCTCTCGCCCTCTCTCACTTTGCACCGGCCTTTTTCGAATCTCTTCTGGCTAGCAAGAGATGCAGGACCGTCGTCCAGTCTGCGTTTTTGCAGTGTATGCCTGTACTCCTCTGGAGCTTTATTGTGAGCGCATCAGTGGACTCAAAGGCTGACTTTGTGGTGCATAAGCTTGCCCGGAAGGCCTGTGTCTTTCACTAAGACGCCTACTTTGAAGACCTTGGTGTTGCGCCGCTGGGCCTCAGCTCCACTGCGCAGTCTGTCGGCTGGTCCCGCGGTCATATTGCACCCTGCAGGGGAAGCCTCTAGGGCGTATACCACCGCCGAACGGCTTACCTTCATGAGAAGACCGATGACGTGCAAATCCTAGCAAAAGGCCGGGCTGTGCCATCCACCAACCCCTCTCCTCGCTCTGCTCTTCTTCAAAACAGCACATGATGCTCACTGCTTGTCAACACCCGGCAAGAACTCAGTGGGAACATAACCCGGTGTCCTTTGTAGGCATGAGGGGTTGAGTCTGGAGCGAAGGGGGTTCGGGCTCTCCTCATGATGACGACGGAGGGCGCAGTAGTGCTTCAAATCCTAACTGTTTGAGCTGCGCGGCTCCGTGGCAGTAGCAGGTGCCCATGCTGGACATGACAAAATTAAAATCAGAAAGGGGCTCCTGAGCCTAACGGGCGATAACCCGTTTTGGGCAACGAGTGAGTTGCAAATCCTCGTCAGCAAGTCTTTTGATGGCAGGATCTGCAGAGCGAGGCAGCTGTCTCGACTGTGCAGGGTCGCATCTCAAAGCAGAGCAGGCAATCAATGTGTTCACGCCAGGAGACGCTTTGTAGGGCTGCTGTATTTCGGGCAGTCTTGATGCGAGCATGTGTTTTGCGTTAGGAGTTCGGCAACTTGTTGGATGAGAAGCACCACTTGGATCGTATCTGCCCGCCATTGACATCCTTCAAGTCGGGGATCGAACTCGTCACAGGCTAGTGTGCTTGTGAGGAGGTTGAAGAAAGGGCTGCAGCTTGTTCTTATCCAGGCGTGCTGGTGCTGCTGAACTCCATAACTTTGATGGTGGAGCTGGAGGCTGCTTGCCGGAAGACAGCACTTTCGACCGTAGTCATGGCCGCTTCACATATCATCCTATTGGCCCATGGATACCTTCATCAATCTGGGCAATAAATAGGCATCAAAAGAACTAAGAGAGTTCTGGATGAGCCCAGGTGGAAGGCAGAGTGGTTGGCACAACACTCGGCCTTGAGAACAGTGAAAGCCTGACCGCTGCCCTTCCTGTCTTCCGCGTGATCGACGGCATTTTCGTGGCCTTCTTCACTCTGGAGCTATTGCTCAGGATCTACTTGGAGAGGTCGGATTTCTTGCACGACTACTTGAACTGGTGGGATGCGGTCCTGGTCTTTGCCGGTTTGGTGGACGTGATCTTGAGCCTTCTTCAGGCCGAGTCATGGCTTGACAATGCCGTGGTCCGTCTCACACGGGGCCTGAAGGCGCTCAGGGCTTTTCGCATGATGCGGAGCTTCCGCCTCTTCCGTGGCTTGCGTGTGCTGGTGAAGGCATGCCAGTGCTCCTTAGTTCTGCAACAAGCATTTTTTCGACTCAGCCCGAGTCAGCGAGCTGCAAAGACTTAACGAGCAACCGAGGCTTCCTGCCCTCGCTTTTTTGGTCCATGGTCCTACTTGGAGTCTTGATGTCCATGGGAGCATTGATGCTGGGACACCTGCTGCAAGACTTCCTCAGCGATCCACTTCAGGAGAGGGCATGCTTGGAACCGGGGCACACGTCACAACAAGTCTTAACAAAGTGCTTGGACAACAAATTCCAGCCCCGGACGGACCTCATGTTATTTTTTGACGCCTATCTATGTTTGTTTTGGAAAAGCAGCCGGCCGGTGGTGGGTTAAAGATGATTCGGCTCATGTGTGACACCTGCCTGTCAGGACCTGGAAGACCGACAGTGGATTTGGACCCGGTATGGAACAGCACAAAGGGCCATGTACACCCTGTATGAGGCCAGGACTAGTGTCAGCATCAGGTCTCGCAAGGTTCTGAGGTGTGCCACATGCAGCCAGTCTGTCATTGCTGCTTCGTGCCCTGCTGCCTTGCTCCAACACGGGAAGAGACCAACAACCTACAGTGGCCGCCTGTGTCGTTGATTTGGCAGTGCTGCCGACAGCGTCCCCCCTGTTGTCAGATCACATTCAGCGGCTCTTGGCCGAGCAACGCCCGGCCGGTCGTCGAAAAGGTCAGCCAGACCTTCGTGATCTTCTTCGTGCTTTATGTTACCCTGATAGTTTTCGCCGTGATAAGAGTTATAAGTGCCGTCTCTACGTCATCAATCAGCACTGTTTTGAGTTTGGTCCGGCTGGGGTTCACGCGCATTGCCGCAAGTTTGGACAGTTGCCCGACGGCCAAGGTTTTTCTCAAGGACACACTTGAGGCAGCCCAGAGTGATGCAGAACAGCTTGTAGTTGAAAGGATGCACAAAAGAGCTGCTTACATCGAGCAGCTGGAAGGCGTTTTCCGAGCTATAGACGTAACTGGCACTGGGATGATTGGCGAAGAGCGCTTGTCCGAAATACTGGTGAATCCCAGAGTCAAGGCATACTTTCAGACCATCGACCTGGACCTGCATGAGGGAACGGCACTCTTCCACCTCTTGGCCAATGGAGAGGGAGAGGCCCGCTGGGAGCAAAATCAGTTCGTCGTTTTACCGTGAAAGGCGTCCGTGAACACTCAGGCCTCACAACTGACCCGTCTTGTGTAGCCTCTATGTTGCAGCATGTGCCAGAGCCTTGTGAGTGTGCATAGGCACACTGAGTATGCAGCACGGGAGCTTTGGATTTTCGACCCAAATCCACGGTAGATGTGCTTTTCAAGTTGAGTGCAAAGACTCAGAAAGCCACATCTCTTCAGGAGATGTCACTGAGAACGAAAATCAAGTTGCGTAGTGCCCAGAGGTAACTCTTGACGAGTTCATCAGCGGCATATTGAGATGCAAGGGTCCTGCGCGTGCGATTGATCAAGTGGCCTTGCATGCGGACCTGAAGCACATTGAAGCCAAGTTGGACAAGATCGCAGCCCACGTATTAGATGACCCACAGCAGCCAGATTCTGCCCGGTGCCTCCGTGCAGAGAGCCTCAAGGCTTTCCGTGTAGATGCATCTCTTGAGGTCACGAAGCTATTCAGCCGCTGATGAGGGAACGTTTTTTCCAAAAGCTTGACTGGTGCAAAACGGCACAGCTACATGCATGATCCTTCCAGCCATGGAAGCTCAAGGTTTCTGATGGCAGCTTTCCCAAGTTTGTTTTGTTCAAGGGCTGAAGACTTGCAAGCCTGCGACATTGCAATACCGCAATGCCCGTGTACAGGTGTAAAGGTAGACAGCGAGCAGGTCTTTGCATGAACTGCATGATAATTCACCCCTTGAGACATGTGCCGATAGCCGACTTCCAGTTGTGCGGAGCCAAGCATGCTTGGGAATCATGAATTGAATTCGAAACCTCATGGCTTGCGTGGTGTAGGGGCCAGAAGATAAATGTTTGAGCTTACCTGGCTCTGGCAGTCGCCTGGCTTTTGGTGTTTCATTGCAGACACCCGTTGTCTAGTGGTGCATCATGTTATTGAGTCTCATGCACGGACACCGGATCCGACCGCATGGCATCATGGCGCGACCCGTCGCAACCAAAAATGGCTTTGCAGCGCATGGGCTTGCAATAAGTTGAACTCTTCATGTGCAGTCGACCGTGTAATTCCTCCAGAAGCCTCTGAATCTGCATGTCTTGTCCTTCAGGCAATGTCTTAATATGTTTGTTGCCCACGCGGTCCTTTCCTAAACCAAAGGCAGCAAAGCAGCTTCTTCTGGGTTTTGGGGGCCACCTGCATTGCATTGCATGAGGAAGCGAGGATCGTTGGTTAATCGTAGGGGCGCGCCTCACAGCGGTAGTTGGACAGGAGTCTTGTTGCATGTTGGTCTAAAGCTCCCCACCTCCATGCCTGTGACTGGCAGGACATGTTGCCATTTGTCGTAGGGGTTTCCTGCAGCTTGCGTTGTCGGCTTTACGACCGCAGTCAGCGAGATGAGGGAAACTGCCGAGCGCAGAAAGTAAATAGATTCCTGCTGCACACGGTGCTTCGAGACCGCAGCAAAGTCCCACACCCGTATATCCCGTACTCGCCGAAGTCTTTCAAGCCGATAAACGAAGGAAGACACGATTGAATTCAAGCTGTCAGCATGGGCAGGGTGCAGAGACCCGGACATCTCTTCGCGATGAGGTGCAACGGTAGGCTCTTGTGTGAACATGGTAAGTTTGGTCGCAGTCAGTTTGGTGAATATCAAGCTGCAGTAACCCCGTGGCCCTTTTAAGATGATGCGCAAACATCACCTTGAATCCGTCGCTGAGTCACCGGCCGATATCCAGCATACGATGCAACGACATCTTAGGACGACGCAAACAACTGAAAGACTGTCGAGTCAGACCCTTGCAATCTCACCACCGCCTCGTCGGGCCTCAATCACCCTGGGTGTCGCGCATCTCAGCTGGCCGCAAGCTTCAGCTTGCCGCAAGCAGGCATCCAAGCCAGTAGCCGCGGAGGGGCGCTTCGAGGACCAGAGCTCACAAAGGTCGAAGGATGTCAATTGTTGTTGAAGTTGAATGAGCTGACACCCATGTCATCAGGGCGACGGTGGGTGTCTGGTGCCATGGGAAGAGGATTGGCATTTTTCTTGACCATGGGTGCTTGCAGATTTCTCGCTCCTTTTGCAAAAGCCGGAGACTTTCATTGGGGGTTTATCCGAGCAATGGATGAGACGTAATTACAATGCGCGATGCGAGGATAGTTCCTTTCAATTCCTGTCCTTTGCACATGTTGAACCTCCTGTTTGCAGGATTCTCCTGCTCGGGAGCTTGCTGAGTCGCAACAGACGCGACCACAAACCTTGAGGAAGCACTCTACCTTCGGCACCTGTACTGAGATGTTGGTCGCAATTCTGTGGTTCAGTTTTGCCTGCTTGGTTCTAGAGATAGTCCTTTGGAACAGCTGGTTCACTGGTGATTCCCGTACGAGCGCGCGCAAGGCCGTACTTGTCCGGAGCCTGCTGTGCTCCCAACCTCGGGCAGGTCGTGGCACCACTGTCTCGTAGGATGGTTTCGACATCCCGTCTTTTTCTGCATCGATGTTCCTGTCTCAGGTATCTCAGATTACCAGAGTGAGTTGAAGGTTGGCTTGGCGGCACCACTGCCACCTGGCAAGTCAAAAAGCCACCCCGCCTCTTGAAACGACTGTATACCCTTTGCGCATTTTGCGAAGCTCAGGCCGGCCATTTCCAGAAGCACAGCTTCGCTTCCGAACTCCCCGATAGGCGGGGACCACAACGACACCACAATGCATCCGTTTTTCTGAACAGAGTGCACCCAGTCAGCAAGTGCAGATTCTGAGTTGCTTGAGAGACAGCGTTCGCGAAACCTTGAGGCTACAGGTAGCGAAGCCGCCTTCTTAATCTGCGGAGAGTGCCTGAAAACTGCATGTAGCCACGATGATGGAAGGAAATTTTGTTCGGACGGGGACATCCATGCTTCACAGGAAGTGCTAGAAAAACTCGGTCGTGGTCTACAAGGCGACCACAGATCAGGCGGCCAGTTAGAGCAACGGAATCGCGACAAGCCTGCACAAGCTCAACGCAATCATCTTCACCACCAGCTTCTCCCAAAGCCTCCCTTGGCTTCCATGCCCACTGCCACATATTTGAAGGCACGTACTGCTTTTGGCACGGGTTTGGGTCAATCTGTGACGTGACGCCACCAGGAGGTGGACGAGGCAGCTACCGTCGGTGCTGCTCATGGTCGAGATTCATTGCAACCCGACGAGAGTTACATATGACTGCACGTTTGTTGCTCTGTGGATGGAATTTATTCGGACTTTTGAACACGTGACCAGAAGAAGCTGAGGCACGGCCATCCTAAACCTGAGACTGCTGAATTGCCGAAGATATTTCCACTCCTTAGACCTTGCCCAAGTAAAGAAGGACAGGAAGCATAAACGCAGGTAGCAAAGCTGAAAGCATGTGGCGGTCGTTGCTAGCTTGAACGCCGAAAGCTACTCTTTGCAGGCGACAACTCCCGAAGAGGACATGTTTTCCTGGGGCTTGGGTTGTGCGGACTCTCATAGCTTTGGACTTGATGTTTCTGAAGCTTCTCGTCTGAAAGCCTTTCGGGGCTCAATGAACTCGATATTTGTTGCGGACATGTTCTGTCTTCTGGAGCTGGCCTGCAACCAGAAGAGCCGAGTTCGGATGGCAGGAGGTTGCTCACAGCCAGCTCTCCAAGTTGGCTTCTATCATGTTGGATGATGCTTGGATGCCAGTGCGGTCAGAGCGCTGCCGCTGCAGGTCCAATATCTTTCCGACGCCTCACCGACTTATTTCTTGGGTGTCCCCCTAAGGAAGCAAACGAGAGCCATCGGCAAGCGATGGAAGAGTCACCTGCCAAAAAGGTTGAAGTTCGGGATACGGGGCCAGCAAAGAGAAGGTGGTGTGGTGGGAAACAAGTGCGGCGGTTCGGGGACGAAGCCACGCACGTATGTCTCCGTCAAGCGTCTCCGTCTCGCAAGGTACTGGGAGCTCATGCTCGGAGATCAGGCCGGCAGCGTTGCTCCAACTTGCAGATTCGCATGAAGGGATGTTCTACGTACTTGTAAGGTCTAGAGTCCCGAGCTGAGTCTTGACCGTGGCTCGCTCTGGCTCGCTCACAGGTTCCCTACGAGGTCCGCTCAAAGAGATGGAGCGACGATCTCGGCTTCCAGCACCCGGGCTGCAAAATGCAGCAGGCGAGATCGTCCGATGCTGTTCGACATGCTGTGGCGCTGTGCTTTTGCGCCTTCGTGCTTGTGCTTCGCCTGTCACCCAGTGGTGGCTGAGGAGCGCAAATCCCTGGACCGACTTCCGCGGAGGAGGCCACATGCTTCACAGCGCTGCAGATCGGCTCGTCTCGACTCGTGACCCTCGCCGAGCCGATAAGAAGCCACGTCGGACCCCATGGTCGCTGAGGCCTTCTTTCCCTGCGGTGCCTCCTTTTCCTTGCAGACAAGCACACTTCGCAGGCCGTGCAAGAGATGTTTTCAAAAAACGTGGCAAACATGAAATGTTGAAGTGAACAGCCTGAACAGCCTGATCTTGAGCCAAATAGTAGCCAGCATGTCTCGTACCGAAACGAGGCGCGGATCCTCATGGAGGAGGCGAAGTTTCCTTCGCGTGCCAGCAGCCTCAGAGTGAGGGCAAGTCTACAGGGTTGAGTTTTAGGTTTCGCTGGCACATAGCAAGTAAAGCGCTGCGGCATCGCAAACTGCAGCATAGAGAAGACTCATTTGGAATTGAATGGGGATTTTGGGTGCAAGTTGGCCCTGGACTTTGAATAAAGTGAAATTTCGTTTTAAGGACCGTTGAATAAAGGCCTGCCACATGCTCAGGCTTGGTATCCCTTCTCGGCCGCCGGGATCACAATCTGCCAACTTCTTGCCGTCCACCTGAGACTGCATGCACGTCCGATGCTAGGTCCAGCCGCAGCCTCAGCCTTGAACATTCATCCATGGTTCAGAGTTGTTTGCCCGAGATGGTGTGCTGTTTCTTTCTCTGCAAAGGGGATTTATTTGCTTATGAGAAGGCACAGGCAAATTCGACATTGCTTCTTCCAGTGCCCGTCTTCCGAAGCAAACTCGGTAGACTCAGCAGAGAGGCAGAAAACTCTTCGCCTGGAAGGTGAAAACCCTCCCGGCGGCGCATCCCCTGGCAATGAAGCGCTTCCTGCAGCTTTGAACGGCACTGGAAGCCCTCCCCACCAATGGTGCCCCATTCGGACGAGCTAGGCACCCTCGAGACAATAAATCTGGCATAATTAAGCCCGAAGGCCCATGAGGTTCTCGCAGGCCAGGGTCGAGTGAACAGCCGTGGAAAAAGATATCGCACGAAGTGCATCTGCTGCCGGAATCGTGCGCAGCCTTTCACAGGGCCCCCAGTGTTACGAACCGGGTGTTGGGCTGCGGGCGGGGCGTGGAGCTCAGACAAGGAGCGAGCTTGCCAAGAGAGATCCCGTGGAGGTCTTTGCCAGCTGCTCAACTGCAACGCATCGAATGGGTTTTGATCTGACAATCCTAGCGGTCCTAGCGTAGCCTAGCGTAGGTGTGGCCAGTCTCAGCGGTCCATGGAAGCATCGCAGCATCACGAGGGAAGGACGGAGGTCCCGGACAGTATTGGACGATGATGAATCGAGCCCGGGGAGAGCTTGAGGCTCAAAACAGCTCGTATGCCAGGCTGTCGAAGAAGGCTCAGGCCACCCCGAGCAGCCGCATCGGACGACAATGAATTCTTCTCCAAACCGGGCCCAAAAGATCAGGAACGGTCCTTTCTAAGTGGGTCTCTCTTCGGCCCTCTGCCTCGCAGGCTATTGGATGGCGGCGCTTTGCAAGCTCCACAAGGACGGGATCCAGGAAAACCCTCGAAGACGAGACAAGTGCCGCTCTTCGGGCTGCCAGGAGTGGCGAGAGCTTTGCGACCGGGATCCCAAAGCCAACATCTCCATGTCCTTCAACCGCGTCTACGAGTATGTTCCTGGGCTCGTAAGGCTACTGTAGTACCCTAATTGGAATCTGCACACGCGCCACATCTTGAATCATGTTCCAGAGTCATGACGATCGTCACGAGCCGTCGAGCCGGGAAGGTGGGTGTCGCCGTCGAGAGCGCCCTAGCCACCAAGCACTCTGACCGCCTGCGGGTCCTCAAAGAGGTGAACGCCAGGTCCAACCTCGTTTCGAACGGGCTATTCACTTTTCGGATTGCGTCGTGGGCTGTGAGAGCATTCCGAAGGGCCTCGTGCATGGGGCTGGTGGTAAGCCTAATCATAATCGGAGCAGAATGATAGGCAAGCAGCCGTAGCAGTCCGTGGCAGCCCGGCTTGCGCAGGTCCTCTGTCACGAGCGGGCACAACTTGCTCGTGCGCTTCTTTGCTGCAGAGAGATAGCAGCCGACGGTTCGCTGCATTTCACGTGCAAGACATGTGCAAGAGAGTTGCCATCTTTCGCTGTCCGGTCTAGTCAAATTCAGTTGAAGATTGGTGACACAATGGCACGGACCCATGTTCTCGGCATATCTCGCCTAATTCCAATGCTCACATGACTACCCCAAGGCGCCGAGCAGCTTGGGCGAGCAATGGGCAGCCTGTTATTTTGCACGTGAACCCAAGCATTCCGTAGGTTGTAGGTGCAGTCATGTGGCAGCCGAGCAACCTGCCCCGATTAGCAGAAAGCATGTTTGAATCACTGAACGGCCCAGAGCCCGATCCTGGCGGTGAAGCACCGAAGGGCATGCAGTCTACAGACGAGGTCGAGAGTGCTCGTCGGCATGGTGCGGTTGGAGCACCTTTTCCTTTGTCTTGGTGCCTCGGCTGCTTTTGCGCTTCCAGACTCGAGACGGTTAGAGGCCGAGCCTCGTGTGCTTCCCAGGCTACAAGCTGAAGAGTGGTCGACCTAGCCTGCAGGAGTCCGAGGAGGACTTCTATGCGACTCTGCTTTTCCGAGAAATTTAACGGATCGCACAGTATAGGACTGTCATGTTTTTTGATCGTCCCACCCTCCTATATCCTTGACACCGCATCAATTCAGGTACAGCCGCCTAGAACCAGGTCAAGTCCCTTGGCAGAATGCCCCGAGCTGCTTCATTTGTCCACCCTGGCTACTGTCTATGAGATCCTGAGCTCTTTCAAGTACGCCGTAAGATAATGGACAAACCTTCCTGAGAAGTCGCCCCCTAGTTGGGTGAGGAGGGCGAGGACAGTGATTCCGATTAGGAGAATTCCCGACGACCGAGGTTCCTCCGTGGAAAGCTGCTCGGGCTCTTTCTGGTGCATCGAAGGGTCGTCGGAGTCGTCGGATGCCACCTTTTCCAATGGGAGTCGTGGCGGCCCCGAACCCCTGAGCTCTGGAAGCCCTGAGCCACAAATGAGCTTTAACGCAAGCTTAAACAAGTTCCAGAAGAAAAAACCAAGCTCCTGCAAACTCTGGGTATCTGTGCTCGGGTGTTGTTCGTTTGTAGTCGGGGAGCCCAAGCCAAGGCGATGTCTCGATGGCAGTGCCCGAACTCATCGACTCCGCAGAGGCTCCCTGAGTACCAGTACACAGGAGATTTCAGACGAGCAGAAAACAATCATGAAGCACCAGAGCTGCGCTGTCAAGTTATCATGTGGGGTGTGACGCACCGGCAACACCACAAGCAGTGGTCATGGTTTGGGAAAAACCAGTAGCAACCACAGAAAAACGAAACAGCAACCAACTAGCAAGACAGTGCTGCAGCAACAGAGCGATGGAGTAACAATGGTCATTCTGTTTGGCTCGCTGGAGTTGGTCCAAGTGAGTCAGTTTGAGTGGAAGAGTCAGCCTGTTCAGACTTCGACAATCGGGGTCTTTGGGAGATGGTCCTATGAGCCGACAGGTCTATCGCCTGTACAGGGGTGCTTGCGGCGCCGAGGGGGACATCCAGGCCCGGCCTTTCGTTGGCAGTTGTAGTTGCACTGCATGATGACGAGTCCACACTAGAACAGGGCATCTTAGGCTCTCTTGGGCTCAAAGACCAAAAAGCAAGCGATTTCCTGCATCTCATTTGCCACTCCGCGGTGCCAGGAACGATGTCGGATCTGGGCGACTTGGCTCCAAAGGCACCTACAAATTGGCTTGGAGATCGACCTTGTGGGTAGCTGGGTGTTGGGCAGCATGCGCGCAGGGCTCCGCAAGAAGTACCAAGCAGGCTAGACTCGGCTAGACATGCCGAAAGATGTAGAAAAGCTGTTCCCTTCTTTGGGGCAAGATCGCCCTGCGCCAGCCTTGAAGTACCTGCCAAGGTCGATTTCACGCGGTTGCAGATTGCAGTTGCCGAGTACAACACCCCCGCATCCCCTACAAATTGCATTTCTCTGCTGGACATAACTTGGTGTCACTGCGATGCGCTGGACCAGGACCGAGCTGCCGATGTGTGAAGATGCTATGTCTAGGCTCACGAACCAAGTTCTCCGTACAGCACAGGGTGCTTGAGCAGGGTCAAGGATACCGGGTGGCATCCCGATGAATGCTGTCAGGGCATGTGAGACGACGTGCTGGTTTTTCAGGACTCCTCCTGGCTCTACCGCATCGACGTTTTCAGCCGGAGCCCTCCGAAAGGAGCACATGATGCCCTTTTTTCATCGGAGCTGCTTCGGTCACGGGTCATTCCCTCTTCTGAGGAGGAGCTTCTCCGACACGCCAGACAAGGCCGGAACCCATGCAAAAGCCTAGAATTAGCGCAACTTGGCGAGCAAAGTCAAGCTTGGCTCATGAGATTGGCATCAGGCATGCTTCTGTTTCGTCATGCGTCTGCGAAAAAAACCATAGAATCGAAACAGCTCTGGGGCTTGCAAATTCTGAGGTTGCAGGGTCCTCGACCACATTGCAAGAATTCGGCAGCCTGGCTGCCCTTGGATGCTTTGCAGTCGATTTAGCTTTGCAGTGCCTGCTCAGGACTCGCGCTACAAAAGCTGCTGAAGTCTCGGGACAACGAAGGTCACGGCCGCCTCTACTTCATCCAGAAGCGATTGTTCCAATATCTCTGGAGATCGGTCCAGCTGTCAGTCAGCGAGGAGCGTGGTTTGTCCGCACTCGGTTTTGCATCCTGCAGCAGCACCCACCCATTCCTAGGTCCTAGGTCCTAGGTATTGAGATAATCGAGCATGAGCACACTCAGCGTGCACTACATGCCTGAGCATTTGCCTGCAGTACTTTGCTCGCGCAGGATCGCTTGGTTGAGGCGCAAGCAGTGCTGGCTTTCAACCTCAATCCAAAGGACTGGCATTTTCCAGGGCCACATATTCTGGGCTTTGCTTCTTGGTAACATCCTCCCGGTTGCCTCTCACGCAGGAAGGCATTGCATATTTAAAGCGTGACTTGGACCGCACATATACGGATCATGTCTTCTCGGCTGTGCCCGAACAGATGCCTCCGGGCCTGGTCTCTTCCTGAGATCCTCAGGAAAGTTGAAAAAGGACACCGATGACGCTGCTTTTCTGCAGCCAAACGACCCCACGTTCCGAAAAACGAAGAGACGAGACAAGTGTTTTCCTGCACAACAAGCAGAAGCTGAGTCTGACTGGAATTCTGGTGTCCCAAGAGCTTAGGGGAGGACATTCCGCCTCTAATGAGTAAGTTCTGGTCCCACCGAGGAGATCGGTGAGTGGCTCTCCCAGGTATGCACCGAACGTGGTGGTCTTGATCCGACCATGCTAGGACCGCCTGAGCGATCCGATACAGATCTCTAATTTGGAGCTATAGCCAGACAATCAGAAAGAGTTGATCCGCAGGAGACTACTTCAGCAGGCGAGATACACTGCAGATCTTTTGGAGCTTTGTCAGCCGCATTGCTGCCCAGACGCACTCTTGACTTGCAGTGGCGTTGAATGGCTGAAGCTGTGTGACGCTGGAATGCCTGCAATGCTTGCCAACGTCGGAGACGGTTTCGAAGCGTACCTTCTGTGTTGGACTCTGTGAAATTGTAAACCCCAGACTTGTTGCCCAAGGACTTTTCCAAGCAGGATTTGGTCTCGGCACTTCGACAACTCTTCGACACTTTCAAGCCCGGAGGAGAGGGGCAAGCGACTGGGTGCTGAAAGCTCCTTGTGCAGCGGCTTTCATAGTCTATTGAGCCTGTTCTGCCGGAATATGCTGGCGATCGCCCACCCAGCCCAGCATTTTGCATACAGAACGGTACACTGGCTGGGTAGGGATGTAAGGCGACTCTGTCTCAGGTGATCACCCGCATTCTGGAATATTTTGCGGAGTCCTACTTTCTGCAATCTGGCTGGTTTATTGGAGAGAACATGCAACAACATGAAGCATGCGCAGTTGTTGTACAGATGTTGAGCAATCGGCGATGGACAGCAGGGCCGATCCTGGGCTTTGCAGATAACTTTAGCAGTTCAGCAGCCGTCCTCCTATGTAAAATGCACAAGCCGCGCTCTGTCCTGGGAGGCAATGGCAGAAGCAAGCCGACTCCGCCAGCAGTTTGACCAACTACAAGTCTTCCGACACTGTCTTTCAGGCCCGTGGGCCCTAATTCCTGTGTGACGGGGAAGGGGCCAGGGTATTCTGTAAAGCTGTTTTCATGGGGGGGGGAGGGGGGGTAAGGGGGAGGGGGTAGGGGACTCTAATTACTTAGATTACTTCCTGAAATAGGCCTTAGTGCCTTAATACGGGTATTAATGCCCCCTACCCCCCTCCCCCGCCTACACCCAAGGTGTCCTTATGATTTTTTCATTTTTGCAGATAGCAGACGCATCGCACATGGGCTCTCAGGACAGGACAGAGCTGAAACGAAGGATCGGTAGTTCTGCTGCAGAAACATCCGTGCCATGCCGAACTCTGAACTTAGGACAGTAAGGATGTCGGGAGTGAAGTTGTGCTTATGTTTGCATGTTCAATGTGTTAAAAGCTGTTATGCCCGTATGTTGCCATCAATAGGCATAGGTTATCATAGTTTGCACAAGATTACCTCTGCTGTTGGTCTGCCTTGGCCGTGACAGGTGGCCGTCAGCAGCTCGGCAGATGCGATTGGTCCTCATGCCCGCCATGCTGTCCCTTGAAAAACCTCGACTGTGTGGGCGGTGCTTCGAGCAAACACTCCAAACTCTTGAGCATCGAGCTGACATGGACGGAAGGGGCCAAGCTCCTGCTGCTGAGGCCTCATTATGCTGAATACAGGCCTGCACGTGGCCAGCAAAAAGCTGAAGAAGGCGAATACAGCAGCGATGACCTTGGAGGAGTACATCTCCAACACAAGGCTTGGGGTGGGTTGGAAGATTGTGGTTTCTCTTAGAATGCTGCTTCGATGCCTTCTAATAAGTCTTAGAAGGCATCGAAGCAGTATATCCACAAGGATGGCCGTGCTGCCCGCCCGAAATGCCCCCGAAGAGAGACCTCGAAGAAGCTTCCAGAGCCTCAGATAGTCTTGAGCCCACAATCTTCGAGCCACCCGGATCTAGACGACTCGACAGGCGCCTGGTTTCCGAGGAGGAGGTCCCGAACGAGGCCCTCAGGCCGCTCGTCCGATACTGTCGGGGGTGCCTAGGCCTCGCGAGCTTAGCGCTGTTGGTGCAGGTTTCAGAGGGATGGAGGTTCGTGAATTAGGGATTAGGGACTTCATGCTTTTCCAGATCTTGATTGGGTCCCCCTGATATTTTATATCGTGTACGTAGAGAGAGAGAGAGAGAGA